GGTGGTGCTGCTGCAGCTTTGGCCATAGCCAGTGCATTGTCATTGTCACCATAACAATTTTGTTTGCCTTTTTCTGCATTGGCCAGTGCCTCCCGCTGTGCTGTGCATTGTTTGTGCCGCGCACGCTGCGTCGATTTCCCAGAATTGACACCTTGCTCTGTCTGCACTCTTCTACCCTCCCTCTCTGCCTCTCTGCTCGCTCTTCGCCTGCCTCTTCAAGATTTGCTACAGTTTTGTGTGCGACGCGCCAAGTTGTCTGCCCTGTGTTAGCTGGTGTAATCAGCCCGGGTACGGCGTGTGGAATCTTTTGGCACATTCATCATTCCAGGCTTCCATTGAAACAATTGTGAGGCACACACTCACATACATATGTACAAGTATATATTTGTAGTGTGTGTGCCCGACCAGGTGTTTGCCCAGGAATTTCAATTTGCATAAATTTGGTTCAGATTTGCGTACAATAGGACCTGAAGGCAGCACCAGGCGTAGCTGCCTGAGGATAAGCAGCCTCTACCTCTGCCCCCACCTCCGCCTCTACCTCTAGTAGCGCATAATGATCGATGCACATTGGATTGTGCGTGGCTTCTAATGAAGATGTTGAGCTCTGATCTTCGCTTGTGACGAGCAGCAGATGCTCGTGGCTCAAATTGAGTGCAGTCGGAGCGTCAACTATTAATATTACCATTTATATATACAGTTGTGATCTTGAGAATGGTAGTGAGTACTCTGGAGTCTTTTAATTCAACTGTGCCTATCTGTTCTCTTCAGCGATTCGGCTTCGACTATTCTATGAATATTTCTCCGATCTGTAAGACTATCCATGCTCAAATTTCATGCTTTCATAGTTTCAGAAATCGAAAGCCATAAGAGCGTAAGAATTCCGAATAGAAGTACATACTTTATAAGCTGTTCCTTCTTTCTACTCCCTTAACAATTCAGTAGCCACACAGTTTGAAAGCCCTTCCTGCACTTCTAGTTTTATTTCTAGTGCTCAATATTGGGCATACTTGAGAAATAAGTTGCTACAGTTGATCCTCGCATTTAATCGTTGCCTTTACTAGTTTAATATAGAGTGACTTGCAAATAAAATCAGCCCAGTTATTTGACTTTGAATCGGCTCCACAGCAACACCTTTAACGCAGTGAAAGGATAATTCCTAGGCAATTCTTTCTCATTTAGAGCATACTTCCTTGTATACAATTCGCATCAGCTAGACAAGCTGGCAGCTCCGCAGGCCCAGCTGTGCCGGCCAGATGGCTGAACAACTCATTTCGGGGCAGACCACCTGATGCCACCACCGAAGGCGTGCACGGACAGCGCTAATGCACCACCTACAGCTACTGGCACAAGAAAAGACAAAACAAATGAGAAACAATGCACAGTTATATTAGGAACTGTGCAAAATCGAAACGAAATAGAGAAATAGAGAATTAGAGCATGCGGCGTGCGGGCTAGACGCCTGCTAAGCAGTTCATTTGTTCGCAGATTAGACGGCGAGGCGGCAGGACAAAGCTAAACAGAGTCGAATGGCTTTCTATAGAGAGAGAAAGAGAGAGAGAGGGAGAGAGAAGGAGAGTGAGAGAGGTAGAGCAACTGCACGGCAAAAGCCTACACGCACCGTGAGAAAGCAACAGGTGTGGTCGAGTCTCTTGACCAAATGCTAAGCCCGGCCGGGTCGCTTATCTGGCATAGTTTATCGGGCACCTGCTTGACCAGCGAATTGCCCAGGCAAATAAACCCATTCGGTGTGGTAAATATGCTCGTGTCATCAGAAATCACGATCACAACGATTTCATAGCCGCTGGCCAAAGGCAAACAAATTCAGGTGCTAAACGTGTTGTGCGTGTTCAAATGACATTTCATTTATCTCTCATGTGGTCAGCCAGTCAGCTCAGGCAGCCGACCCACGGGTCGAGCTTCTATTTGCTCATAGTTCAGGTATTTATTTACCAACAGCTTGGCAAACGCTTAACAAGTGTCTGCGGTTGCTGTTTGTTTGTATTTGCATTTAGTCAGGCTCGATGACAAGATAATGAGAGAATATATAAATGAGATAATACGAAAGAAAAAAAAATATATATATTATATATGTATACAGTTTATGTTTGATGTTTTAACTGGTTATCGCAAGAGTTATCCTGAGCTGTTGCCTGATTTATTTTTACTTTTGTGAGATAAGTCAAAGAGTAAAATATTGAAAATTTTTGGGATGTGATCTCTATTCATAATAATAGAGCTAGTTCGGGATCAAAATTTTTGCGTGTTCCTTGTTTTAGTACCTATAAGAGAACTTGTATATATTCATAAGAATTTATCAATCAAGGTTAGACTTTAAAGATATGTACCTCTAAAAACATATAATATGGATACCTAATTAATGAATCAATTAATCAGTTCCAAATTCTCTATATTATAACTCTATACTAACATATCCCATACATTAAATAGTGTTCTATCTAACATATCACTCCACACAAAAACAGCAAATACTCTTGAGCGCATCGGGTTGTAAAACTTCAAGAACTACTCGAGCTAAGAGTATTTCCATCAAATCTCGAGTCTTTCTCATGGTAGTGCCAAATGAATCATTCGCAGCGCTACGCTTCGGCATCCAATTTGCAGCGCAGGGCACATGCCAATACAAAAACTCAATTGCTGGCTGCAGGTCGACTTACCTACTGGATCAAACGCTAAATCCTCAAACAAAGGACAACATGGCGAAAAGAAAAGAATGAAAAAGTATTATAGACAAATGTGGGCATACTTTTGCCTTTGGCACAAGGACAGGTGATGAGCGTCTATCCAGATACCTCGTCTCTCATCTTTTTTTTTTTGTGTTTTCGTCGAATGCCACACAGGACTCGAAAGTCAGGTCTGGAACCTGTGCCTAGGATGTGCTGATGCCTATCGCTATTATTCGCAAAAAATAAGAAGCAGAACAAAAAGAAGTGCACACAAAAGCGGGCGGCCAGACAGCTGACAAATCTGAAGAGATGAAGATGCTATTAGAAAACCAGAGACGGAGCAAGGCAGAGACAGAGGGCGAGCGAGAGGGAGAGAGGGAGATAGGAATGCCAACCAGCTGCCTGGCCATGGCTTAGAACATGCACCGTCCTTTTTAACTTCGTTCGGTTTTTGGCAAGGTGCCGGGATTGCGTCATGTACAGTGCGCCCTCGGCAAGGTGGTCTGCTATGACTCTCAGTTTAGAGCGAACTGTCAACATAAATCTTGCTTATATATACTTTGTCATAATTCAGTGTGGAGATCTCGCTGGCAGCGCTTATTATTTCGTTTTTAATTGATTGGGAGCGGAAGTGGCTGAGCATCGCTTCATAATGCCCTAGACCTATTATTAGTTGTCATAAATCTTGATAAGGCAAAGATCGTACGAAATGAGTTCAAGCTGCAAACGAGGCTTAAACCCTTCATTAGGCAAGGCTTTGATTTGGTGAACTGTTTCTCGTTCATGTTGTTCGTCAAATTACATAATGATGGCCAGCCTACAGACACAGGCTTGAGTCCTTGCCACGCCTTGCACACACACACACACACGCACACACCTAGAGGCCGCACCTTTTGTGTGTGGGTGTGGCAGTCCAAATAAAGGCAATCCTTTTTATGGCCGCCGCGGTCCACTTGACAGTTTAACCAAAAATGCAAACCGTTGAAATTAAGTTAAATAGTTTCTTGTTAAAGCAAACCCTTTTCTCGAGTACCGTTTCTTTTCGGCTGGCTCTGTGTTGCAAGCGCGCACCTGCCAAATGATTAATCATTTTGTGGCCCCGAACTCGTCTGCCTTTAACACCTTTACCCTCTCTCTACCTCCCGCCACCTCTCTCACTCCCTCACCCAATCACGCTCTCTCTTTCTCTGTTAGTTGCACCCGTCGCCTCTTCAATCCATCGTTGAGTTTTCTTTGACTCTTTCTCTGCTTATTCTTCCTCTTCACTTTGTTTCTTTTTGTTAAATGCTAAAAGCTCATCAATTATACGGCACACATCTGTCTTTTTAGGGGCTTGTTGCACCGCCGCTGCGAGGCGCCAAAGGTCGCGCTTTTCTCTTTTCATTTTGGATGCTAAGTCTCTAATCATGTCCATCAATTTGATGGCTGCACATACTCGTCTATGGGCTCACCTCTAGTATGTGCTACGTTGAATGAAATCGCCTCGCTCGCTGGGCGATCCCATGCTATTTATTTACTTTGTGGGCGGTCGCAGCGTGAAATCTTTTAATGCTTTACTCTAATTTAATCTTAATTACGCATTTTATATTATTTTAATTACAATTTCTAGGGTATAGTTCTAGATTATGGACTGACATTATTGTAATCTACCAGGATTGGCTTGGTTCTTGAAGTGATTAACACATAGAACTGTACATTATTTGATTTATACATTTTTCTATCTATACGAATAGGTTTTTAGGGTTGAGTCAAGAATTTGTAATGCTTTGGCTGGAGTTGAGGGTGATAAGCTGGGTGGCCTCTTTAAAAGCTATAAACTGGAGCATAGAGCAATATTCTTAAATCGTCCTCTTGTTTTTTCCCGAATCGAATTGCTCTAATTCTGATACTCTTAAGTTTTTTCCTTGTGTTTAGGAAGTTTCCATCTTTGCCTTAAATGAACTGGGATCACAATTGTATATCAAATGAATAGGTTGTTATAAGTATTTAACTGTTAAGAAATGTTCATCTTGCTGTTCCTTTAATTATCTGCATTACCTTTCATTCCTATAGAATTTGATTTACTTGATTTACTTGAAAACGATTTTCTTTCTTTTCATTGATAGATATATTTAATAACACATTTAACTCTAAATATTTATGAATTTTCTTTACCTGTTTTTTAATTTTCTGAATTATAAAATTAAATAATATATCAATCAAGCTACTTTTATATTCCCATATGCAAATATAATACCAATATAACTATTCAAAAAAATCCCCGATAAGATTCTCTGGCAATTCTAATTGATTTTCATTCCAAATTTCTAGCATAATTTCTCTTCTGGCAATCTTTCAACAAGGCAAGGACCTACGCATTGTCATATGCAGACACGACTCATAAATCCAAAGGGAGAGAGACAAACGCGATGCACTTTAGGCGCACGCGCAGATGTTTTTACAGGATTTTCATTAGTGTCAGCACTCGTTGCACGCATTTGAATAAATAAAGTGTGCATGTGCGAGTGTGTGTGTGTGCGTACACCAAACAAAACATGTCAGGTCCCAAAAATAATTGAAAAGAATGAAGGAACGTGAGCGCGCGCGTCTATAAATCAACGCGGCAGGATAATGCATCCACGAGTGTTGAGCACTAATTTTGGCTCGTTGCGGCATCTGTCCAGGAGCCAAAGCAGGAGCAGGAGCAGCAGCAGCAATAACAAAGCGGCCTCCATTGAACACGTCGAGTGGCTTCGCTTGAATGCAATGCGAGAAACGAAGATCCCTTACAAAGAGAGACGGAGCGCGTAATATGAGGCAGCTTGGCTAGCGCACCTGGCCGTGATTTGGAAACAGAGCTGAGCACGGCTGAGCTATTTAGAGGCAGACGTGGAACAGGTTGACGACGCACGAAGCGAGCCAACAAACCCGCTTCATAGCGGTCAGAGCTGAGTAAAACAAAAAACTAACTGCAAAAATTATAATATTAAAATTTTATTACATTAAACAACGACAGCAACAACATCGACAACAACGACAACAGCAACTGAGTGGTTGTGCCTCCCTTTTCGGAGACGACACAAATCAGATCAACCGTTGCCTGAACCGTGATGAACCTGCCGCGCAGCGAGCGAGCTCTGGTCCCGTTGCTTGTGCTCTGCGCCGCCTGATGTTGCAACAGTGCCACAGTCCACAAGCGGTAAGTGCCCCAACCATTAAACTTCCAGCTGGTGGCACGAGCTTAATGTTGTCGTTATACATTTTACAGGTTGACGACACACGAACCAGCGCGATTCACAGTTTGCAGCTTCAGCAACGTCAGCAACGTCAGCAGCGTCAGCTCTCCGTCTGCAGGGGAGAGTTGCGGACAGTCGCGCTCCCTTGTCCATGTGGGGGGCGTGCATCCAACACACATGTATCCGTGCAACCACAGGCCATGCACGCCGCCGGCGGCGTGTTGCACTTTTGGTTTTTTTCTTTTTTTGCTTTAAAAATTAAGCTCATTGAAAATGGCGGACAGGGTATATTAGTTCTTTGGAATGTGCCACATACCGATGTAGGTCAAATCCATAAGCAATAAAAGCATAAACAGGGGAGAAGTTCTATCTATGGCATTTCCTTAAGATTCTTATTAATTGAGATAAGTCTAAATACTTCAGCAGAATAGAAAATCTTTGCGTCCTCATATCACATTGATCTAGGAAGCCATAAGAGGTAGAATATAGACATATTTAGCAATGTTTTTCAAGATCTTCTTACTTTAAGATCAGTACCAAGTCTTTCAAGCAATTTATAAAATCTTGAAAATTAGTATACGATATTCGCTACATGAAATATCAACATCAACAACAGAGAAGATCTATGTATGCCTCGCTTATCGTTTATAGGGACGTCGGAAGACATCTCTGGCATGATTTTAGATCTTGAAATCGAGTTCTCGAAGAGTATACATAGCTTACAAATGAAAATCTCTTTTGTATAGCCGCTGAATTAAATTTACTTCACTCTTTTAAAGATGTTAGGACTCTAGTTTAAAGTCTCTAGTTTAAACTCTCACCCGCTGCAGGGTATCTGCTAGTCAATCAGTCCCTACTGCAAATACCTTTACTTGTTACTTATGTATATTCAGTCGCCCGTCTGGCTTCAGTCATCGGTTGGGGGCACAGTGCCCGACTGCAGCCTAACAGCTATTAAGTTTGCCCGCTTTGCCCACTTTGCATATGATTTCTGTTGTTGTTGTTGTTTCATGTGTTTTTTTTTTCTGGGGCCCTGGGGGTCAGCGTGGGGCGCAGGCACACGCGGGTTATCGTCCGGTTTATGGTGCCATCGAGGAACGCGCGTCATGTTTATAAAGAAATTCTCTGCTGTTCACATAATACGAGTAATTTTCTTTTGGCAACGTGTCGTCAATGGGCATCCATCGATGCCTGGCGGCGACTCCGAATGGGAGCTGCTTTGGCCAAGTACCAAGCACTACGTCATGAGGTTCGTTCGCTTTGTCTTTAATGTTTTTATAAAGTGTTTGCTACTTGTTGTGAGGCGAAGTTTTTGGCGATTTTTTCACTGTTATTATATGCGATTATAATAATTATATAATATATGTATATTATTATTTAAATATGGAAGATTTTTCCGATTAATAAGTTCATAGATTCGTTCAGAAATGAAGATTAGGAAATCCGTATAAATAAATCTACTATATTTTAAATATTATTGAAAGACATTTAAATTTATATATTTGCGACTCTATAATTATATATAATTCGATTAGAATTAATTCATTTAGTCTTTTATTAAACGTTTCCTGGCTATGCCGATATTTTTTAATATGTTTAATAATAATAAATAGTACAATTATATACAGCTAAAACTAAATACTTGATATCAATGCATATTAATAGACATTTAAAAATAGCAAGTGTTAAGAGATTTATCTAAAATAAATATAAATTTGTCATTCTAAGATTCTCGTAATTCATTCAGCTAGGAATGCTCTATTGTCATCGTATTCCTGTTACCAATTTGCTGGAAACAATGCTCGATTTCAATTCTTCCCAGAAGCAAACGGAAATGCGATGCTGTAAAAATAAATTAGAAGTGGAAGTAGCAACAATAATATTGTAGGTGTTTTGTCGATTGTCTCCGTTTGGCAAGGCGTGTCATTTTCACTTCCTGCTGCTCAAAAAGAAAAACGAGACACACGTCAAGTTGTCTCAGTCTCTCTCTGTGTGTGTATTGCAGGTGCACATCAGGTGCATTTTTGTTTCAGTTTTTTGCTCGTCTCACATCGAACTTAATAGGCAAGCAATGCAAACTGTAATTGAAACATTACGATCGCCTGTCAGCCGTTTCCATAAGCAAAATGAATCGTTTCCTTTCATATTTAAATCGGAGCAGGCCTGCCAGCAGCATATCAAGCTAACTTTTTCAAATGCCACCACGCCCACTTAAGTGGCGGCTGAAAACCAGTAGCCGCAGCCGCATGCAACTGCCACCGAGGGCAAACGTTGCCTGCAATCAAAATCTTCAGCCACCGCCGCCACTTTCACACGTCCACATCATCCACATGCACAACGTCATCATCATCGTCATAATAATAATCAACATTTAAGCTAACAACGTCAGCCTGCATTCGCAATAAACGCTTCACGTCAAAGATTGATCATTGCGGCCAGCCCAGGCTGTGGCTCAGACTCATCCATTTCGCCCAATCAGCCACGCCCACAAGATGCAACACTGCAGTTAAAAGCGCTCCAGCCCCACTCGCCCCGCCTTCCCTGTATTAAAATGGCTTAAAACTTGGGCAGAGGTGGCAAGAACAATAACCAGTAGGAGCGCACCGATTGGAGACTTCTTGAACCTGAGATATCCTGTAGAAGAGTATTTTATTTAATGTTCAAGTAAAGCACAATTAAATTAAAATAAAAGAATAATAATTTTATAGTGAATTCTTTTCTGAACTTTATTTACATTGACATAGATGTATATAAAATATATGTATGTATATTTTGCATTGTATATCACGCCCCTAACGTAATATAATATAACTCAGCTGAATATGAATATATAAATATTTTTATTAAGTTCTAGTTTATTTTTTTTAATAGCTGCAAAGTAAAAGCTTTCATCTACCTAGGTATATCTGCCGACATTAAATATATTAAAAAATATATATATATATATTTGATATTTAAATTAATATTTTTCATCTACATTTTCTTAGAATATTTCTGAGCTACTAGCAAAGCAGAGTTTTATCACCAGCTCCTTTGTGTACGTCTACATTATATTTATAATAATTACTAGATATTATATTCTTAATAATACATATTTATCAACCTATTTGTTCCATGCAGTGAAAGCTGCCTCAGCACCCTCAGTCACAGCAAGCCCAGCTCTGCTTGGCAGGGCGCATAGGGTATATTCCTATCTATATATAGCAAAACGGTGGCTTTTGGCCTGCTGCTTCCGCTGCTCGACTGTGCTGCAAGGTGTGTGGCAGCAACAGTAGCTGCCACCGCTACTAAAAGCGCAACAATTGCCAATTTCGCTTGCTGCGCCCAAAAGTACAAAAAAAAAGCACAACACTGCGAGCCCAACAGGTACGCAAAAGCCTGGCTGAATGGAGGCGCTGCCAATTGTTGTCTGTCTATCTGTCTCTCTCTGTGTGTGTGTGCGACCTGTGCCCGGCTGTCGCTGCACTCCATGCTGCCTTCAACTTTCTACAACTGCTGCCACATGCTGCGGATGTCTATGAATGGGACGCAGCGTCCCATTCTCAACTCGCATCGACTTGCAGGCGGTGCTACATCATCGTCGACGTTTGGGACGTCAACTTGTTGCGATTTCGATTTCCTGTGCGCAAAACTTTGACGTTTGCTGGGTCACCTTGCCAAGAAGGGGGCCAGGGGGGCAATATTCGTAATTGCTCTGAAAAGAAATTTCCATATGATAATATTTATTCGCTGGAATATGCCCACAACTCATCGGTCTAAACGTCTAAAAAAAAAGAAAAAAAAAAATACGTCCAGCTACGCCCGCGCTCCACGCAACACTCACTCTTCTTCTCGTTGTTGTTGTTGTTGTCTATTTGACACTGCGCAGGCGGCGAGGATGCACTGCAAACAGTGTGTGGGTGGTCGCTGCAACCGCAGCTCCAACTGCAACTCTGACTCGTCGTCGTCTGGCAGCAGCAGTCACTTTTCGGGTTACCTTCGACTGGCTGCGGCATTCGTGTTCGCATTTTTTATTTGTATTTTTGCATTTCCATTTGGCCAACTGGCTCTGTCTGTCGTTCGTTTATCGTTCAGCTCTACTCCTGCTTCTTTGCTTTTATTTTGCCTCTTTCTTTATTATCTAGTTGGCATTTTAGTTGAATTGTTAGCTTGGTTTATGTGCTGATCCCAACTGTGGCTCCCTCCTCCTCTGCTCCTGCTGAATTATGCAAGCTGGCCTCGCATTGGCAGTTGGCATTGCCAATCTGCATTTCTAAATACATTGGATTGAATATGGACCGTTAGCATTACGATTGATGCACTGACTATTTGCTAACTTATCGTTATTCAAATTTTTAGTGCTTTGCCGCAGTGCTGTAAAAGGCCATGCGCAATCGATAGGCGATAAAGACAATGGTTGCTTTTGTAAGCCAGTAAAAGATTCGCTGCAATTCCAATTAATCAATTGCAATATTGAAGAGATAATTGATAGACAGAGAGGGCGAGAGAGAGAGAGATAGAGAGTGGGGGAATGAAAAGAATTCGTGTACAATTTAGTGCTGTAAAAGGCTGGGAGTAATCGATTAGCGATTAAGAGAGCGGTTTCTTTTGCAGGCCTGTACACTTCACTTCTAATTAATCAATTGCAATATTAAATAGATAATGGAATGAGAAAGAATTTTTGTAGAATTCAATCATAATTTTCGTTTATATCTAGTGTTTATATCTAGTGTTTCAGGCTTAGAGTAATCGATAAGCGATAATACCAATAGAGTTAGTACTGGAATTAGTTTGACTTTCAAACAATCCCACTCGAAGTAGGCTTCGACTTTCTTCACTCGTCTGTCTGCCTGTATATGTATTAAAACAGCCTTTCTATTCTTAATCAACTCGCATCGAGCTCATCTTGAAACAACTTGAATAATTATAAGAAAAGTCAAGCCAACCGCGCACCTTGCATCAGCCAACAACTCAAGTAAGTAAGCCCGCATCTACCCCTATGGTTATCAGCCCAAGTTTTCAACTTGTAAAAACAATGATAATTAAAGAAAGGAAAATACATAATTAGGTCGACGCCTTGTGGCTGCGACGGCGCTGCACTGCACTGCACTGCACTGACGGCACACGTAATGAACCTGTTCGGGAGCAAGGCAACAACACAGGCAACGGGCGACAGACGACAGACGACAGACGGTGTCGGCACACGCAGCCAACAAAGCGACTACTGACGCACGCACACACACACACACATACACAGACACCTTGACCAGAATTTCTAATAAATTTCTAGCTAGGGGTAACAACATGTCACAACACCAGCCCAGAGCTCAGGTA